TTCCTGCTTCCTGTTCCAAGCCGTTATTACTAAGCACATTGAGAAGCAGGCATGGTGCAATCTAGAAGTGATGATGAGACACCTTTGAGGTAAATAGACTGATCCAACTTTCATCTGAGCCTAATGTGCATAAAATGATTTTTTACAACCAGGAGAACTTATACTACCCTCCAGCTCTCCTGTACATTACGAATTTTTATTTCTATCTGGGGAAAAAATTTACAATCTTTGCATTCTCCTGTGCCTGAGGAAGGGCACATGTGCCCGAAAGCTTGAAAATAAAGATTTTTTTGCAACTGTTTAGTTGGTCTAATAAAAGATATCGCCTCTACCAGACTGACTCTAGAGGTGACTGCATTTCAGGGCAGGCAGAGCATTCATCGTGTAGGTGTCTGTTGATCTGCGTCTCCAGGAGCACTGTGTAATTGAATAATATTATCACTAGCACACTAGTGGGACACTATAGGGGATCATTGTACAGGTTCAGGCTGAAGGTAAGGATGGGGAATATTCCAGTTGTTATTGATCTGGAAGGTGATCCTGTGCGTCTCATTTACCACCTGAATTAGTCAGTGCACCACTAGACCACAGACTGACAGGATGCTGTATGGTTTTCAGAGAGAAATTGCAGACTCGTACGCACAGAATGCTAAAGTGATTGAGAAGCAGCTGGAGCGGAAAGGCATGAGCAAGAGGAGGCTGCAGGAGCTGGTGAGTCTTGTTTTCAGTGCGTTATCATTGCAACTGTGCATTCTTTGTGGTGTGAATCCCTGTGCTAACGGTAAGCCTAAGCAATGTTTCTTAAAACCTCACTGTGGGTGTTCAGGCATCCTGGCTTAGTTTTACATGCACCTTGCAGTTTTGGGGAGAGAACTGGCTTAAGCTTAACAGACCAAACTATTTTCTTTGAATTTTTTAGCTTCAGGTGAGAAAATTCTCCGTAAAAATTAAAAGAAAACCCATCCAGTTCTTGTAGGTCTTTCTTGGGTAATGTGGGGATATCTAGCAGCATCTTCCCTTTGTCTGACATAAGTGTAGAACACAGAACAGAGATCTTCTGTTTCTCTAAAATTATACAGAGATTATACGCAAAAGAGCGTAATTTATGTCACTGCTGAAACCAGGGTAGATTCTGTAGCCACATTGTCCATGATTTACCAGGCTGACACTTGGAGAAATTTACCCAAAAGCTTAACCAAAGGAATATTTTTTCACGTTGTGTCCTCAAGCCTACCAAACCCACACTCTAGCATGGACTGTCGGAGGTGTCACATATCCTAGACCTAGAGAAGGACCTGCCACTGAGGTAACTCTGTTGCTAATCCTGGAAAGGTTGTCCTAGGAATCAACAGCAAGAACATTGCAAGTGATCTTGCCAGTGCAGGATATAAGGTGTGAAGTGGTCTCCTGTCTAAGTAGCACTAGACCATCCAGGATTTCAAAGACTTTAACATGCACTTGGCTGTGCACCCAGAAGCAGAGGTAGCCAATGAAGAGACTGGAGAAAAAGTTTTCCACTTTGCAGAGAAGGCAGGTGGTTGCATTCATTGCTAGCCATGTTCAGACTAGAGAAGTGTACCTCAGTGAAGCACTGGAGGGAAAAATTACCCATGTTGACGGCCTTGTCTAGAGTCTTTATTCTGTCCTAATTGCTTTTAATCAGGCTGAGCTGGAAGCCAAGAAAGCCAAGATGAAGGGAACCCTAATTGATAACCAGTTCAAATAAGAAAAAACCTCCTCTTGTCACCACTTGGGCAGCTGCCCATTTAGAGGGGCAGAACAACCACCTACCAGAGACTTCAGTCAACCCTGCTGAAGCAAAGCACATACATAGAAGAGCCATACATCGAAGTTGACTTGGGGGATGGTGCTATCTCAGCTCTTGGCTGTATTTTCATTTAAGGTGGTATACTATAACAAAGGACTTCAAGGACTTTCTTAAAATCTCATTTCTGTGTACGCTCAGGCATTTTGTCTCTAACACCCTGACATTTATGGTAACGTCTGTTTCAGGGGAAAGCCCTCCCTCCAGCTGTATGTGGGGATCCATGCACTTTTAAGTACGCACCAGTCTTTTGATGTTTCCAGATGTACATATATTTTAGACACATAAATAAAGCAAAAACCTAATTATACAGAAAATAAAACCTTACAAAAGGTAAGTCACGTCCATCTAATTAAAAACCAAAACCAAATCTGTCGAAATATAAGCAAGCTAGAATGGCAATGAGTTATATGGATTTCTATAGTATTGTTACTGACCAGGTATCTTCACAGAACAGACCTCACCAAGGTGGACAATAAAACTCCAAAGATAAGACGTATGTTTCTGGAAGTCTGGCCAAATCTTTTTTAGGATACTGAAAGTGTTTAGAAATGTTTGCTGCATATGTCTGGCAGGAGTTGCAGGGCACACATGGCTTGTAGTTTCTCAAACTGTGGACCTGTTTTTTAAATTGGAGAAAGAGTGATGGTCAAAAAGTTCCTTAAATGTACCTGTACCAGCACAGCTGTGTTATAGGCGTATCAAACAGAAGTCCCACCTTAAACTGCTGAAAACAAAACCCAACAGTAACAAACACCACAGACAGTTTCTTTAATGAAGTGGTGCTTCCACTAAGTGCTAAATGAACCATTTTAATTCCAATGATAGGGTTGAGGTGATGGTCCAAGAGGTACATGAAAGTCTCTCAGGCAAAAAGCCTGTGGAAGAGTACTGTGGTACCCAAAAGCATACCTTTATCTATAGCAGCCACACAGTTGATCCAATAAAAGATAGCACTTATAAGAATTCTTGCCTTTTAATTTGGATTTGACGTCCATCTTTATTGTCTGAGAACTCATTGCCCAAAATAACTGGATTCATACATCAGATTGGGTGGGTGGGGAAAAGTTTGCTTAGAATTTAATTACTATTTAATATTTTGTACAAGACAAATGTGAAGACCCCATCTATACAGTGAGCACCTTTGTCACAGAAGTCTGTTTTGCTGCTACTTTTCTTATATGATAGAACAGCCTGAAGCCCCTTCTTACTGCTTCTGTCTATTTATGACTTCAGCACAAATATCTTTTAAATTCCATCTGTAACAGAGGCAGAGACTCCCTGTTACTTGAAGGGAGAATCAGCAGTAGGGAGTGCTCCAGGTGGGCTAGGGGGCGTGTTATGGGCTACAGGAGAATAGGTTGCCAGGGTCTTGGAGGCTGTAGAAGTCTATTGCAGAGTGAGCTGCTTTACCGTAGTATGTTAGGGCTGAGCCAGCTTGGATTGCAGAGGAACTATTGCAGAGCTAGCTGGCAGCTGTTATGCAATAATCATGTGGCAGAGCCAGGCTGGGATGGCAGTAGCTCCTAGCATAGCAGCTATAACCTGGTCTGGAGGGCAGCTAGCCTAAGTAGAAACACCTGTGGATGGCTGGGAAGCCACATGACCAAAAGAGGCAGGGCATAGATTAGTGGTTCTCAACCTTTTTTATGTTAGGACTCATTTGTAAGCATCGGTGGCCAGTCCCAACCCAGTAAATAGTTTAAGTAGAAAACACACAAGTATTTTGGCCCCCAAATACTTATTACATGTTACAAGTTGAAGCTGCTCAACAGTCTTATTTTTAAAGACAGAAATCAACATCAACAGGAAAACAGTAACGGCAATATCAACAGGTGGCCCTCCATTACTCCTGAGTGACAATGAAAATTGCCGGTGCCTCTCACTCCTGACTCACAGTCCCCTGGCCCTGCTGGTGTCCCTCAGCCCCAACCCACAGCGCCCTACCCCTCAGCCCTGATGGTGCCCTCACTTCTGATCCACTGTCCCCTGCCCCCAGACCTCAGCTCCACAGTGTGTGGGATGGGGAGGTGTGCACCCACAGTAGGTACAGAGGTGCAACCTGGCCGGACTGGCACGGGCAGGAGCCACCTCTGTGGTCCAGCGGACAGGATCCAGAGTGGGGCATCAAGACTCCTTGCTGTTGCTGCCGCCGCTGCTAGGACCTGTGTGCCAGCCATACGACCAGCAGCATGTGGACTAATGGATATGGGGGCTGCGCTGCCCTCACCTCCTGCCACCAGCTGCACAAATCTGAGGGGGCGCATGCTCCCTTGACGTGTCACCTGTGCCCCCCCAATGCATCATCAATGTCCCCTCTTGCCCCATAGACTTAACTGGGGGCAGCTGCAGGAGCTGCTCTCTACGCTGCCTGGTTGCCACGTCCGTGTGTGTGCGCGCGCACGTACACATGGTGCCCCTGTCTGATTGCCCTCCCAGTTCCCCCAGCCCATTGCAGCCTGGGACCCTGCCAGCCTGCAAGGGGAAACCCACAGTTTCCAATGTTTTTTGACATTTCCCCATGATTGTTCACAACCCTTTAATAAATTCTTGTGGCCCATTTTTGGGTCACAACCCACAGGTTGAGAAATGCTGGCTTAGGCAACATATAAACCCAGAACTGGAGCTCGGGGGTCAGTCTGGCCTGGAAAGGTGCCAGGGAAGGAGCTCTGCACTGAGAGGACTGGGGCTGAGTGACTGAATAGAATCTGCCTGATGTGAGGACTACAAGTAAGGAACTGAAGGCTTGCAAAGAACTCAGCTTTGTTATGCAGCTAGTTTCTGTTATACCCCGGGGGCTGTTATAGTTTATACCGGAGGACCAGGTTTAGGATTGACGGGTGGTGGAGGTCCCAGTGGTGCTAGATGGGCATCTGGTTATTCCAGAGCCCTTGGAAGGCAAACCCAGAGCCTGAGAGGGGTGAGATCATAGCCCTGGAGGGGTAAACTCAGAGCCCTACAGAGACGAGACAAGAACCTGTGAAGGGGGAACCCGGGGCTCTAGAAGGGCAAGACCAGAGACTTGAGGACAGACCTAGATCCCTAGAGGGGCAAGGGCAAAGCTATGAGGGGTGAGACCGTAACCTGGGGGAAATGGAACTGGAGCAGTCGAGAGGCCCTACCGGGGCTGGACATCAACTAGGACGGAGGGCCCCTGAGAAGCACGTGGTTGTACTGATGGCCACAGGCCCACCAAAATAAGCAACTGGTAACACCTGCAAGGCATGAGCATGGCTGTAAGGGTGGTCTGAGGCCATGGTTGCAGCCCTTAAGACAGTTACCAAAGCCCTAGGTAGATCTAGAAGAGGTAGGCCAGTGTTCTCTGGGGACTTGTGAGCAGTCTCCTGATTCATTTTGCTCAAAATAGCATCAAAGGTGTGGCAGGAAAGAAAAGGGGAGACCCAAGAACCAGAGGGGCAGGAACTGCCAGGCTACCAGGGGGCGTCACGGCTATCCCTGGGACTGCTACACCACCTCTTCACTTTGAACGAGAACATGTTTCCAGTATATCAAGTATCTACCACTTTCCTATGCTGAAGGAAGCTACTAATAAAATGTTAACGTGTTCCAAACTTGTTATAGGAATGTTCAAGTTGCCCTGACTAAGTTCCAGTTTCACCCTATTCCTTGAACAGTCATATTTCTGTTTGCTTATATAAACTGAACTGGTGTCGATTTGATCACTTGTACATCTTAAGTCTGCCATATTTTGAGAGAGAGAGAGAAAGGTAGCCTCATGTCAGACCTAGGAGTATAGAACTACGTGAGCTCCTGAAGATCGGTCTCTTCTGAGTCAGGCTACACAAAATGCATGCCTTACCCAGCACTAAGACCGCTGACCTTGTTTGTAACAATCTCAGTCTTGTCCCAGAAACTCCTAAGTTTCAATGCCAGGGTCATGGGTAATAGATGGGAGGGCAAAAGAAGGAGCAGCTTAGTGGAGTTCTGAAAAAGACTTACCACTATTACGCATGAGCCATTTGTCTGGCTGTAGTAGCAGAGTCCAACCAGCAGGGGGCCTCTCTATTCAGTTAAAATATATAGAATCTGGCCAAAATATCACATGTCCTAAATGTTGGCCATGTGATGGAGTCAGTGAATGTCCTTTCCTGACCCCAGCAGGACAGGCATGCGCAAAATCAAGGGCTGTGTTGAAGTAACAAAACCTACAGTTTTGCCCTGGTCTTTATTCATTTGAGGATCTTGTCATGTTTCTCTGCTGAGGGTCTGTCATATTCCATGTTTGAATGTAGCTGAAAACCAAGGAACTCTCTTTCCATGTAGGAACCAGGGAAGTGAAATTCCTCAAAAAATCACTTAGTTTTAATAGTGCTGCAACTACCTTGTGGTTGATAATATCAGAGAAAACTGTTGGACTTAATTTAGCCTAACTTAGACCCTAAACAGAATGAGGTCCTGCCCCAGCTGAAATCAATAACAAGAGTTCCACTGAGTGAATTCAAAGATCTGACTTTAGGATTTTTATCTGGAAGCACAGATGATTATTGCCTTGCAGTTTTGCGTGCGTATACATGCACTGTCATGTACACGTGAGCATTTACTGATACAAAGGCAGAGCCTGGCTCACCATGGGCAAGTGAAAGGTTAAAATAAGATGGTATTAATACTCGTTTATGGCACTGGATTTACCCTGTGATTCACTTTTTCAGTCTCAGAATCTCCACCCTCTAGGCAATAATTAGCAGCACAGCACGTCACAGCACAGCTAAGGGAAAGACCTTTTCTCCCAGTTTGTCCTTCCAGAAAACCAACCTGTGCGCAGCAACCAGTCTCCATTCCCCTTGTGACTAATGATCTGCTTAATTGTTTTGAATCAATGAAGGGCTATCTTGTGAATTGAGATTGGAATTGTTATTCCAGAATGACTCTATGTGGACAGTTTCAGCGTACAATTAGGGGCCTCTTTTAAAGTGGTTTAAGCTAATTCAGAAAAAGGCTCACATGGAGTTATCCCAGATAGCTCCATGTGTAAATGTTCTCATCAGCTGTATAATGCTTACCCATCTTTGTAAGGTGCTTTGAGGGCAGTGGGTAGAAAGTGTGGTGTCCATGCTAAACCTAATTGTTAGCATACTGGAAAAGTAGTAAAAAGAAAGTAGTATGACCTTCTCATATTGGTACATCAATGTAGCTTTTCCTGTTTGAAAAGAGGTAAAGACCTTGTCAACACAAGGAGGGTTTGGCTACTCTGGTTATACTGGTATAGCTAATAGCACAAAATAAGCCTGCATAGGGACAGTTATACTGGTAAAGCTGTGTCCCACTAGGGTTTGTATTGCTAAAAAAAATCACATCCCTACCTGACATACATGATGTATATGTAGATCAATCTGTACAGCAATGGCAAAATATGTTAGGTGCTCTCTGATTGCTTGTGCACATCAGCAGAAAATCCACGAGACCAGTGATTCTCAAGCTTGGTGTCTTGAAATCCTTTCAAGGGTGTCGTGGGGTGCCACGTAGTGTGAGTACTGTTATGTGTACAATTGTGATTCACAAGATAAACCCAGAGATTTCAAATAGGAAACCAGAGTGTTAAAACATTCTGCCCTGTTGTGGGCTTTCTAAGTTTTTTGCAACAGAAGAATTGATCTATTATTTTTCTGTAGTCAAAAAACAAATACAAACTAAATGCTGGTATTTTCCAAGAGGCACCTGGAGTCTAAAAAAGATTGGGAACCACTGTACTAGGCAGAGCAGCAAGAGGCATTTCAGGTCAGGATGTGTTAGACATTGCCAGAGCTTTGTCAACCCTCCTCCTCCATGCGTAAGTAGTCACATTCAGTGGGTGGTTCAGACTGCGGTTCTTGGGAGGCCACTCCCTGTGAGGCAGTCCTGTGTTCAGAGCTGGGAGGGGAAAGGAGGAAGCAAGCACTCCCTCCTCTTGCGTATGCAGCTTTGTTAAGGCAGGTCTGATGAAGGAGGAATGTAATGTGTCAGTGACA